CATCGCAAGTAGGATTAGCTGAGGGAAAGAAACATTTGGTGAAGAAGCCAATGGTGGAATCGTCGGTAAATTAACGAAACCATGGCAAATAAGTTGGGACAAAGAAAGATGGACTGATGAAGGATAGAATTATTTTACATGCATTTTGTTGAATTATAAGCACCTTGAATTCCTGAATGTTTTTGGTCAATATGACAGATCCTGATTCACGGCCACACAGGCAATAAACACGTATGTAGCTTGTTATTTTTTTATTTTTTATTTTTTCATTTTCTTCGATATACCATGCCATATGCTACGCAGCTTCGTTTGCTCTTTTGGAAGCATCACTATGGAATCAGCTGTAATATATTACCCTACTCACCAATCCTCTCCCCCTTTTGATCCTTATATTCGTTGGTCTCCTGTCATGTCCGAAAATTTAATCTCACCGAAAAAATTACAAATTTCTTGTGACTACAACTTGGCATCTTTAAGATTTAGATATCCATGTGGACACCTTCTGTAGTCACCATTCAAAAGTAGTTTGAACTTCAAAAGATGGCAAAATCTCTACGTTCAAAACAGAGATACAAAAATGGTGAGGGGGAATGGGGAATCAACATAAATGGCAAAATCTCTAGGTATACTATTCATTTTTTTTATCCAAGGGTTCAATCAGAAACAACAGCCACACAAACCCAATTTAACCAAGGAAATTCATGATCACCAAATGAAGCACCAAATTGCAGAGAACAAAATCTGCAAAAGCGCGTTCAGGTGCAAGATCCTGCAATAGGATGGAAAGTCAAATATACGTAAGAATATTATCAAGTGTAGAAATCAATACACAGAATACAAACTCATTTCTTCATTTCCTTGTTCCTTTGTTTTGTCATGTTAAAGATGTAGAGATCTAAGTTTGAAACTACATCATCTTGCCACATTGTCGAAATATAACACGGTGAATAAAAGAAAGCAAACCTAAAAATATCATGGGTTGCAACTCACATGAGTAATAACAGATTTTTCAATTTAAATGTCAAATAAAAAATCAAATAAACAAGAAAAGTATTTTTACCTTGAATTCCTTATTCTCTTTATTCACTTGGATCCGGAGACAAACTGGTCCAAAATGAGGGAGGATAACAATGATCAGAAAGACAAGAACAAGATTTATGCATATATATCTATCAGGTTTACAAGTCCAACACTGCAATATGCATCTGAGAGGCTTAAAAGTCTCCAATTGTACTGAAATATATGTATGTATAACTAGCTACCCTTCAAATTGTAATAAACATAGAACACTTACCAGCCAGAACAGCAGTTCCTACACAAGAAAGTACTCCTGATAGGAAAGAGTTAAATGGAAACGATCCCACCAAAGCCATGTAAACTACCTGTTCATAACAGGGAAAACAAAAAGAACACACGTTTCAAAAAAAAGTACATTTTTCTTCACTAAACATAAACCCACTAAAAAAAAGAGACCAGTACATTTTTCTTCTAACACAGAACAAGGAAATCATAAAGTAGAAACTGGAAGAATATCCAAATAGAATAAAAGCCACAAGATTACAAATTTATAAGGCACTTAGGATGGCAACAGAGCAGGTTGGGGGCAGATTTTGCTCTCTCCATCTCCACCCCCATAAAAGGTAGGCCGGGTTTGGGTTCAAGCTTTAAATAGACAAGTTTATATTTTTAAAACATCCCCATCCCCATCGAATTGTTGGGTTCAGGCAAATGCATAGAGACCCATCAAATATTTTTTTAAAAATTTTAATTTGCTTATACATTTTAAATAAATTAAAGTATAATTTAATAATTATATCATAATATAAATAATATATAAAAAATACTAAATAAGAACTTATAAATAGAAAATTTATGAATTAAATTACATTTTTAATTAAATGTACAATTTTAAGTTTGTTACTTAATTATTGTTATAATTTAAATTAGTTATTTATTAAAATAATTAATTTGTATTTTTAATATTTATAAAAAACTTAACTTTAATTATATATATATATATATATTTATATATTTCTTTGCTGTAAAAAAAATGCAGCAGGACGGATACAAGGGCAGAGAGTTACATAGCTGAACCCGATTTCTCAAGTTGGAGAAAACTCATACCCGAATCCGTACCCAGTCAAAGTGAGTTTTTCGTGTTGGAGTTGGATGGATACCCACGGATGCGGGTTTAGTTGCCATGCCTAGGGGCACTTCCTGGATCCACACTCTCTGCCCATACAGTTTTCCTAAAACATCTAAGGCTGGCATGAGCTAGCTCATTGCAATCCTCTTCTACAACTACAAGGTCAAAACAATTGAGAAATTGCACATTCAAATTCCGGTTCTATACCCACCACACACAGATCAGAGGCTAACCAAATACCGAGCCTCATTCCTCGAGCTTTGGCTTTTCAGAGAAGCATGGATCTGCCACTAAGCAGATGCAGAAAAGCCCCATGGAGATCTCAAACAATAGCGCCAATGCCAATGACATCGCAAAGCAATAACATAAACAGCATTTGCTTTGCTTCCCAGATATCAATAAAAAACGACAGGATTTTGGAAATTAGATATTCTGAATTAGGTTTTCATTTAATTATTTAAAACACCAAGAAGACAGAGGCAACAACAGCATAAAAGCGAAATCCATCGCAGAAGAAACAAATGGGAGTGATTCGGCTCCGAAATTGGGTATGTAAACGTGGAAAGTACCTGAATGAGGGCGGTGAAGACAGCGAAGAGGACATAGAGATCGATGATCTGGAAGAAGAAGAAGAAAAGTGGAGTTAGAAAAAAGAGTAGAAATTTGTTGAAAGAGAAGAAAGTTCACCTTGAGATTAGTAGGCGTTGCAGCATAAGCAGACCAAAGAGCACGGAAAAGGTCTTGAGCGTCCTTGCTGCTAGACCGAGCCATTCTCTCAGATCTTCGAGATTTTACGAAAACACAAACCCTCTCTTCTCTTCTACCTTCACTCTGGTCTTCTCCAAATTCAACGCACCAAACTCCAATTGTCCTACTAACATCACCATTTTCACTCTGTCTTGGGCTTGGGCCTCGACTATAGCCCATCAAATCCAAGATTTTTTTTATATTGAAGAATTTTTTTATTTAGTCAATTCATTTTAAAAATAAATTAATATCTTCATGCACAATTACATACTCACAATAATAAGATCAAATATTATTTCTTTATCAAGAAACACACGTAACAAATTACTCATTCTAATTACATTAGTAAAAGTTTCAGTATCATATGAATTTTGATACAATTTCTATGATTTGAAGTCACTATAGTTAGTGTAAATTTTAAAATACCGAGTTAATCATTTACTTAATTATTATATTTTTTTATTTTTAAGTAAACTATTATTAAAATAAATAATTTCAATAATTTTATCATCATAAAATATAGAGAAGGAAAAACTTAACCGAGAAAATAAAAGGACAAAAGGACAATTAAAATAATAATTTAATAATCATAAATCATGAATCGGTAAGGTATTGAAACAAATGGATTCATTCAATGAATTTATTTAGTTGCTTTTGGAAATATATTAACATATAAAATTTAAATGTATTAATTAACAATACGGATGAGAAATTACATTATAGAAAAAGAAAATGAGAGAACATTTTTTTTTCTACACCAAATATTTTTTTTTATTAAAATAAAACTTTTATTAAAAAAAATTATGATAATTCACACATCTTATTATATCAATTAAATTGACTAAATTTGTTAATTCAGTAATTGCAAAATTTAGTTTTAAGATATGAAAGTCTATTTATCCTTTGTAATCGATTTTTATCATAGTTAAAATAATATTTAATTAAAAAAAAACAAAATTAACCATTAATTTTCTGCAATCTAGAATATGGTAGTAGGTACTGTTGAAGACAAATCAGAAAAGCAAGCAATTACTACCATTTTTTTTTATCAGGAAAAAAAAAATTGGTATAGCAATTAGTAGCAATTTGAGTGGTTTTAAATAGAGGAAATTGAATGGCGTGGTGGAAAGTGCAACTTACATTCATTCATTGAATTTTCTCTTGTGCTGCTGGTAAGTGCCAGAGCTCAAAATGGTGTCGTTTTTGTCTCTCCCTGCCGTTTCCGCTCGTCCCATTCCCACCGCTTTCTCTCTCAGAAAGCCTCTCATTCCAACTCCACCCACTTTCCATTTCAAAAATCACCGGTCAGTAATCCAATTCCTTTTCCCCACTTCACAAGTTTTCTTTTTTTATTATTATTACTTTGTTCCGAACATGGACCCATCAAATTAGTTTTCTGGGGGGTTCTTTCTTTGTTCGCCGATTGCTCATGTCATACTCATCAAGTTGAAATTCGGGCTTGTTCGCTGAACAAGTTTAAGCTTCTGCTTTTTGTTGTTGACTGGTTAATGTATAATATAAGGATTTTGGATATTTAGTTTGGGGATAGTAAAAAAATTAAGTCTTTTTCATGTTACATTGGGAACCTAAGGGGGAAATTGGGTGCTGGGATTTCAGGATGTTGTAGGTTAATTCGTTCAACAAGGTTCAGTGATCTACCTTGGGCTATAAGCATTTGGTATTTTGATAAAAGAAAGCACTTTTTTTTTGTCGTAGATTACACTTACGACTTCCCTTCAACATTCTCAATGAGGTTTTAATTTTAAGTAGTGATTCTATCCTGCACTTCTCAATAAGATCTCAGAATTTTCTCGTGTTGCATGTGACAAACAGTATTTGCATTAAGTTCAGATGGTGTCTGCTTCAAGATACTGACCTTAGTTCCCAGCTGTTTGGTGATAGTCATAGTTAGCACTTAGCATGTGTTTTTTTTTTTTATTTAATCTGTTTGGAAGATTACAATGAGGGCAACAAGTTTTGAACTTAGAACTTTGTGGATACTATTTCAATTCCGGTCACGTAATTGCCATGTATTGTATAATGGGTACAGGTGCACAGTTCATCACTTTTTACATTATTATTAAAAGGCCTCCTTTAAATACACAGTACATGGTATGGTGAATTCAGTAAGTGGTACACAGGTTTATTGAGGACTTTTGTAACTATGGCGATAGATATTGACCAAGTTTGGTTCCCCTTTGCTTAATGGGTCTTGATTGTCAGATGATCCTAGACAGGATTTAAATGTTTATGACATGTTGTTTAATGGTTTATATATACTGTTCTGCAGGTTTGCAGTTAACTGCAGTTTTGCAGAAGCAGGTGTCAGCCCGAATTCTAAATCCAACACCATAGATGTTGTGGCTAATATTAAAAGTGAAAGGGTATGTATGCATATCCCACTCTTTAACTAATTCGGGATTATCCATAAATTATGTATTTTTTGCAAAAATATTCATGTGACATTGTCTCTCTTTGTAGATTGTAGTCTTAGGAGGGAATGGCTTTGTTGGTTCTGCCATATGCAAGGCAGCAGTCTCCAGGGGCATAGAAGTCATAAGCCTAAGCAGGTTTGACAAATGTTTGACTGATTGGCTACTCCTGTCTGACAATCTGACTCTTCCTCTCTGTACTTCATTTATATTTATTTAAATAACATTTTTGTTTTACAGGTCTGGACGACCTACTAACTCAGATGCATGGGTAGATCAAGTTAATTGGATTTCAGGCATGTTAACGTAACCTAATACTAAGATACATGATTATTTTTTTCTGTAATTGGTTAAGGGCATCCAAGCACACACAGGAAGTGGGTTCAGTGAGAGTAAACACCGTCTTAATCATAGAGAAGAGTAGACAATTATTAAGATCAAGTAATTATACATACACTACGATTTGACCAAATAAAATATAATGTCAATATTATCTTTGATATTGTCTTCTTTATGGTTCCTTAACGACTGTTGGAGTATTTCATGTTAGCCTGAAGATACACTAACCAAGTATGATCTGATAAATAAGATCCTTTAGTTCCATCCGGCCAATATTCAGGTTGATTTGTGAGCATTTAAACACCATAACAATGTCATTGAATGAAAATTGTGAAGTATATCAAATATAATGTGGTGGCAAGTAAGCAATTTTTCAAGTGATGTCTTCAGTTTTTCCTCTGGAGGGTATTCAGTATTTTGCCTGATGTGCAGGAGATGTTTTTTATGTAAACTGGGATGAAGTACTTGTTGGAGCTACTGCAGTGGTTTCAACACTTGGAGGTTTTGGTAGTGATGAACAGATGAAACGAATTAATGGCGAAGCAAATGTTGTGGCTGTGAACGAGGCAAAGGATTATGGTGAGCCTTCTCATTGAGCATGAATTTGCAGTTAAATTCACCTTCGTTAAGCATTCATCATTCATGTTAGACTATATTTTAGACAGACTATATTCCATAATGCAAGATATAACCTTTTCAGAGCAATGTTCTCTGATCTTTATGAAGCAATCCACATCCTCAGTTCAATTACTTGATTGTCGTATATTACTAAAGGTAGCTAGCTTTATTTGAAGAATTGCAATGAATTCTCTAATAGTATCATCACTTCATCAAGTAGATTACAATTATTTATTTACCCGTTAGTAGGAGATGATATCCTTATGTGATTTCTAGAGTTCTTTTTTTCCAAAGAGCTGTTGTTCTTTACTTGTTACTTTGTTGAAATCTGGAATTTGCAGTGCTTTATTTCTTTTTAGAGCATGTTTACGAATATGGGGAAGGATTAGTGGAACTAATCAACACAACAATTTCTTTTTGATTGCAAACTACATTATTTTTCAGTGGTCAATGTCACTGAAAATTTGATCAACCAATAGGAGCAATGATAGGTAAGGTCTAATAACTATTTGTAATAATGTCAACAATGCTGGGCGATGAGATTATTAATGAAATATTGCTTTTAAGTGATGAATTAATGGGAGATGAAGGAAACAGTTAGATGTGGACTGATGAGCAGCTTAATCTGACTTACCAGCTGTGTCAAAAAAAGTCATTGGCACTTTCCCATTCCTCAGCAAGTTCATTTTGCACAAAAGTACTTAGCATATTGCCACATTTCTTCACATTTCAGTCGGTTGGTTTGGATGAGAAATTGCTGTCAGCTATTGTTTTGCATTCTATTTTATTCTAAAGAGAACACGTGGCTTTATGTGGTGTTCATTCTATTTGGGGATATTTCTTCTTTACAATGCTTTGAGTTCATGTATGGAACCAAAGATTAATATATTAATGTGCTATTCTGTTCTCACCTCACTTTTGCCTCGCAGGAATTCCCAAATTCATTTTAATCTCAGTTCATGATTATAACCTACCATCATTTTTACTATCATCTGGGTACTTTACGGGAAAGAGGAAAGCAGAATCTGAGGTTCTTGCTAAATACCCCAATTCAGGTAATTATTCTAGCCTTTCATGATCTTCAAAGTAAATTGGTATTCCAGTTTTGTAAGCAAGGACTCAAGGTTCTAAATCCAAACCCATTTTTAGATAACATCACGTGATCTACAAATGATTCAATCTGTTGAAACGACTATTTTTAAACTGATAGTGCCAAAGCTCATTGATGATCCGACAATAGATTTTGCGGAAGATGAATACCATGTTTTTGAAGGATATAAAGCTAAATAAGTGGATATGTCTTATTGTGTTTTATTGCATTCTTGACATTTCACTTTGATCTCAACATTTTCAGGTATTGTATTAAGACCTGGATTCATATATGGGAAGAGGAGAGTGGATCGTTTTGTGGTTCCTTTGGATTTGGTGGGGGAGCCAGCAGAAAGAATTCTAAGGGCAGTTGAGAACATCACCAAACCTTTAAGCTCACTTCCTGCATCTGATCTACTATTGGCTCCACCTGTTAGTGTTGATGATGTTGCGTTGGCAGTTATCAATGGTGTCACAGATGATGACTTCTTTGGTATTTTCACAATTGACCAGATCAAGGAAGCTGCCAATAAAGTAAGGGTATGATCCACACATAAAAGCTGCAATAGAATAATTGTACAGGGAGTAAGAGTAAATACAATGAGGCCATTTTCCCCGTTAGTTAACAGCGGCAGCTTTTGGAGCAAAATCTGTAAGGCAGCAGTGTGTGGGGAGAATGGTGGTTTAAAAACATTTTAAATGAAATAAACAGAGGTTCGTATCTTTTTTCGTTATTATGTGTTATTAGTTTGTGATTGGACCATTCCTGGGTCATTTAACTCAATCCTTCTACCGAACTAGTGACTTATTTAGAGGGCAATTGTTAGATTAGTAAATACTATTTCGTCCTAGTTGTTGCATACGTGACATTAAAGTATGGCCGTAAACCAAACCGAACCGATCCATTTTGGATAACTGAACCGGTTTTATAAAGTTGTTTGATTCAGATTTTTTTTCAAAATGGATCGGATTTTTCAATATGGATCGAATCGGTGGATCGGTTCGGATCAATTTGGATTTTTTGCACACCTTTAGGTCTAGTAAGTGGTGTTGAAAAAGAAGAGAATAAAAATAATTAAAATAATGTGTTTCTCACTTCTATGACTCGTCTTAATAGGTGGGTTATGATGGAAGCTACTTGGAGAAGATTGATGTTCTTCAAGTTCTCCATGCAAGGACCAAAGAAACTCTTGAGGTTAAACTCCTTGAAGTGGCGGAAACACCTTGGAGGATTCTCCAATGGTGGAGAAGCAATGGAAGTGATTCGGTTTTCCTTAGCTTGTGAAGGAAACTTGAGGAACCAAACAAAGGTTGAAGTACCTTTGGTAGAAACCTAAAGAGAGAATTCTCTACGGTTTTTAGGAGGGACTCTTGAGAGAGAATTTTGAAGTTTTATTTCTCAAATGTTCAAAAGTGAATCCAAGAGTAGAAATTACAAATATATAGGGAGAGGTAGCTTGTAGTGTAAGCTAACTTTAACCATGGTTCACTCGGAACCATGGTAAGGTGTAGCTAACCATCCATGGTTTCTAAAACTTGTAGGAGAAGCTAACCTTGACCATGGTTCACTTAAGAACCATGGTAAGGTCAGCCAAACTTATTAAGGTTTAGAAGCTTGGAAGGAAAACTTCAAAGCTTGTAGGAGAAGCTATAAATTTCGGCCAAGAACAAAAGGAATGAGCTAGGCGGCCAAGGCTCAAAAATGTTCCATGATTTATTTCAAAAATATTTGATTTGGTTTAGTTAGGTTCATCATATGATGATGAGACCTAGCTAAATCAAATCTATGAAAAATTAGGAGCAAAATGAGTCTAATATGCAAAATTTTGCCTAGGTCCAGTTCTGGCCCAATTACTAGTCACACCTTCAAGCATTGTTAAATGTCACTCCTTTTTCCCTACTGAAAAAATATAAAATGAATGTATCAACAAAGGAGGTTAAATAGAGTTAAACTCTCCAAGTAACTCACCCTAAAAATAATATACAATCACTAATAAAAGCAAGTAAAGTGTCTCACAAATACAAAAGTAAAAATAAGCCTATACAAAGAAATTACTATATATACAAATATATGAAAAGGCCTTTAAGATCATCTCATTCCTCTTTGTTCTTTTAAGATATCACCTCTTAGATTCCTTGGCCTTGGCCATAGTCTATCAGGTTAACAATATGGTTTATGTGAAAAAGTGGATTTCAATAGGATGTGCAAGCGAAATCTTCGCTAACATAATAGAGATAGCAATAATTCTAGCATCCGTCCTATTAGCCAGCACTAGAAGGCTCTTTTTTATGAGCACTGCGTGGCTTGTTTCATGTAAAGTTAACAAGACGTATACAAATTTTAATTTTTTTTAATTCAAAACCGTAAAATAGAAATGTGCAGTATTTGATACCGAGATACTTTCTAGTTTCAACGAAGAAATAAACTGTGTTCAGAAGAACTTATTTCTATGATACATTTTGAAAACCTTATAGCTTATTCATGATTATCCCACATATAAAATTATAAATACTTATATAAACGTTTGAGAGAATATATAAAAATACCTTATGATTTATATCCATAATGCTAGGTTTGGTATGCAAGAAATAAGTTAAAAAAAAATAAGATAAGTGGAGGGCGGGTAGGAACAGTTGACGGAGTTGAGTGTTTCACATTTTCACTTGTTATTTCGTGAATATCCCCTTGTACAAATATCGATAATGCTTTCTTTTTTTCTTTCTCTTTTTTCTGAAAAATCGATTATGCTCTTCCTCATCGATTAAACTTTTTCTTTATATAACAACCCCTGTTTGTATATTTGCCCTCCTAATCAATTATTAAGTTATTATACCGTCCCCTCCTAATCGATTTTTATGCAAACACGGCCGTGCCAATCAATTATCCCCTCCGCAGACTATATACATGGGGGTTTCGATAAAAATTGAAAAAAAAATAAGGATAATTTTTTTTATAATAACTTTTACTAATTTAATTTTAACTAAATAACCTTTATTTTCCCTCCATTTCTGTTTCACTTTCCCTTCTTTTATTTTTTTTTTCTACCGCACGCAGTATCAATGTTTTCTAACATATTTCAATATGCTATTTAAAATAACTGACGGAAATCATTTACAATTCATTGTAACAAACTAATTTTATTTCCTCCTCGACAATGGAAATAATTTATAAATGAGATCTTATGAAAATTTAATTAAACTAGTTAAGCAAAATCACTAAAACTAGCCTAATAGTTAAGAAAATGAGATTGGAGTAGCCAAAAACAAGACCTTATTTCGACCCTCGTCACCTTTTGTAATTTTTCTTTGGATAAAATTAAAAATTATAAACTAAATATGCAGATGCTCCCATAGTGCACTGCTCACCATACTATAAAATTATACCACAACAAAACGACCTAAGAAGATCTTCAACTTTGGCATTAACGAAGTATGCAGTCATGGTTGCGTTTCTATATGCCATCATATAGACACGTAACAACATTTTAACACTCATTCTGATGTTAATTTCCAACAAACGTAAAGAGCAACAAATGATGCCATCACCCTCTCTCGACAAAACAAAATGATGGATTTATGCATTTTAAACATGGCAAAGTATTAATGTCTGCACCAGAGTCCATATACATTCCCTCAATATGTCCAGCAAAATCTTTGTAAGAAAACTAGAACCAAGGTATCAAAATTTACGATGAGCCAGCATATCCAATCAGAGATAAGAATTCTCCCGATTTCCCGAAGATGTTACGATGCAGGTCGATTACCCAATTGTTGTGTATAAAATTCACAATACTTGTATGGAACCCTTTTGCCTCCACTTGAAGAAGATGTCGGAGTTTATTACTGTCTTCTATTTTGAATGGATTGTTCAACAAGATACCTGTTATCATAAAACTCCAATCATTTTTAAAGCAATAACTACTACATTTTTAAGTATCGATAATCATTTCCTCCAATCATGTGCTTCGACTAGGTGCACCAATGTATACAGTGCAAATAAAACTTAAGTGGCATTTCTCCACTCCAAAAACAAATAAGTATGGAAGTGGCACATATAATAGAGAGAAAAGTATACAAATAAGTTTGATTTGACGGTGCAATATATCAAAGTTTATTGTGCCAAACCTTCGTATTAACCAAAAACAGATCAACCGTGATTAAATAATTTGGTACTACAATAAAGCATTAGGCCAACCAAAGTTCAATAATACTACAATAATCTAAAGAACTATGTTTTGTTATAAAAAAAATCATATCAACTACTTGCTTCTTTATCATGTTAAAAATATGTTCTTGTATGAAAGATGAGCGGATGCTTATCATAAATAAAACTTGGATAAACACTTACTTTCCAGTGTAGAAGCCAGCAGAATACCAAGCATTCAAAACAGCAGCAAAATCCGTTTCAGAGCCATTAATTTCTTCAAGTTCAGCATTGTTTCTCTTTTCCTCTGAATTGCATGGAGCAAACACAATTATGTTGTGTATCAACTACACCCAAAAAATTTAGATAGTAATGAAGTAAAGTCATGTATCTAGACAATGAAGTAAAGCCAATGAAGCACAATGTTGGAAGGACACACCATTTGGTTGCTGTTACAATTTTATCAACCAAGTGAACAAAACACAAGAAAGAAACAAGTAATAATAGGTGTTAATCATTTATATCCAACAGACATTAAAACAATTGATAGCATGTTTCGTAAACAATGAATTATAGCAAGTTACGATAGCAAAGTCAGAATTACATTCACATATTAATTCATCAAATCAAATTACAATGGCAAATAAGAAACAACATACTACAGAAACATTGAGGAAATTTTTCAGCTGATGCCAGCTCAAAGGTAATAAAATATGCATTCAAGTTATCTGATCAGTCCTACAAACGCAAAAATAGATCCAAGATCACGTCAAGAATCAAGGGTATTCATAGACAGGGGATATCAAAAGACGGATGAAGCAAGGGGCTTTTGACATGGATTTTAGTTTCAGAAGGTAAAAAGTAACCTTTAGATGCAAACAAATGATTCCAGCTTTAGACTGAATTAAATGTTAATAAAACCATAAATTTGCCAATTTCTACAAAAAAAAAATGGTATTTTCTTTATGTTATTCTTTCTTGTTGCAACAAAATGACTCTTGCCTCTTGGAGCATCAATATTAAGTACCAAAATTATATCATATTTATGAAAATGAGAGAACCTGTGCATTAAAGAAAAGGGAAAAAAATGGAAATATAATCAAGTAAATTAACTAATTTCAATTAACATAATGCAACATTCATGCACTTGTCTACTTTCAGGAATGGGATTACCTTCATTCACATTTAAATCACCAGATATGGTTGTTCTAATAGTAGACAGTGCCTTCTCTGCAGCTCCCATTGCCATTTTGCGTATCTTACCATCATCACAAGGAAATGACATTTTATTAACCATTTCCCCAGAAAGATTGTTACAAGGCTTGCCAACATACGATCCACCCAAAGAACAACCAGGAACTGATGCGCAAGGAGCCAATGAAAATTGACTATAACAAGGGCAACATGTACATACAGCATTTGGATCAGACACTTGGTATGCAGACATTGAATAATCCTGAGAATTAGAGTATTGTACACCAAAACTAGAAGCAGCAGGCACATTTTGGTAATTCCAACCACCATATTGATTAAGTTGCTCCAAAATCTTCACCCTCTTCTCCTCAAGTTCATAGTACTGTGCAAGTATCTGGTTATAATCATCTATACCTTGAGCATATGCATAACCCTTCTGCGCATTATTGATGTCACCTTGCGCATATGCATAACCGTTCTGTGCACTATTGATGTCTTGACCACTTGTTGAATCTAGACAAGGTTGTTCCACCAGTGACTCAGCATGATGATTTTCTTCCAACTTCGACTCAGTACCAGCCACACCAGAATCCGACACAGCAGTAGCCGGAATATAGCCATCTGTGTCAACATCCCTGTGTTCAATAAAACAAAATTGTGAATAATTAACCAAAAAAAGAAACTACTGCTGCGTATTATAAGGCTATATTGTTGCCTAATTTCTCTTTCAAGGCCTTAACATTAAGAAAATCATTCGAGACATTTTTTCTTGGTGGCATGATGGCCTAAAGTTGCGATAACTTATGTTCTGTTTGATACACTAATTGGCACAATTATGAGAAGTGGAAGCCGAAAGGTCACACAATAATTGAAATCGTCCAGTGTAGGGCAAAGTAACATAGCTACAACTTCTATCACATTTGAGAGTATATAGTGTCATGCGCGTGATATATATTTAATTAACAAGAAAACGATAGCAGTGGTTCAAATGGAGCGTGTTCGTTGAACAGTACCTTGTAGTGCGGAGAGTTTCGCAGTGAGCATCGGAGCCATCTTCTCCGACCACCGTATCCGCCTCTTGCGGCGAGGCATGCTTGTGTTTGGCGCTGGTATGCATTTTCTGTAAATAAAACGCTAATCGGTGAGATTAGGACCGAATTGAACGGCGAAGAGTGAAAAAGACGGTTACGAAAAGAGAGAAGAGAACCTTGTATGTAGAAATAGCTTGATCGAAGGCATTGATGAGAGCTGAATCGTCCCATAGATCTCCTTCGTTCTTCCCCATGCCTCCTTCTTCCTTCGTAAGCGTAAAACCCTTTAAACCTAAAACCCTCCGATCACGATATATTGCAAGGCCCTAAACACACAAATTATATACTAGTATTTATAAAGTAAAATTACTTTTATATCCCTTAAAAATAGAGCTGTCAAAACAGGCTAGCCCGGTCCATCACAGATTAATGGGTTATACGGGCCAGCCCACCAAAAATTTAAAAAAAAATTATCAACAATATTCAAAATTTTAAATTAATTATAAATTAACATAATAGTCATAAAAATAACATCATTAATAGTCATAAGTCATAACTCGTCATACAAAATTAAATACAAATCATAATAAAAGTCCAAAATAAAAATTTTCAATATCATATCATACAAAATTAACTACAAATCATACTTAAATTTTTATTACAAAAAAAAATTGATGGATTAGTGGACTACCCGGCCCATCATGAGTTCAACCTGGGTGGGCGGCCTGGTCAGGTATTGTCCGAGCAGAAGGTCAAGTCGGATTTCGGCCTGGACGGTACACTTGCCTTCCAGCCTTGAGCCTGTAAGGCGAGAAGGCTTGTAACCGGGCGGCCTGGTCAGGTATTGTCCGAGCAGAAGGTCAAGTCGGATTTCGGCCTGGACGGTACAATAATCAAACAAAAAATTATAAAAATCTTTTTTCTCACCTCTAACCAGATATTTTGTGATAAAATATAAAAATATTTAATTAATATTTTAATGCTAGTCAAATGGATTTATTGCAAAAAAAAAAAATACTAGTCAAATATATTCAATATAAAGTATTAAATGATCTTTGATAACATTTATTATTTTTAACCCTTTTCTTCTCATTTACTTTAAATCAAACAATTTTTTATTTTAATTTTGTAATCTTTGAGAATTAAAATGACAATAATAAAATTTATAATTTATGGATATTGTCCAACTTCGAACTAATATTGGTTGACATAAGGATGACAAATAAATATATATCTATCTCGACTTTGATGGAGAATATTTGGTTTGACCAAACATGAATATAAGTACATATAACACCCGATTTATTGATTCGGGTACGAGGATAAGGATGAATATATACATACACATATTGGTACCTATACTCACTTTAAATTTTTATAAACTTAATTTATTTATATTATAACATTTGATATTTATGTAATGTTTATTCTATTTTAATTTTTTTCAATTGAAACTAAATTAATGTAATTATGTAATTACTACTCTATGTTATTTATTTTTGCTTTTTTTTTACAAAATAAATATTCAATTAATTTTTGGGAAAGTATAAGTATATTTAATACCCAACAGGGATAGGAATGGAACGTAAATTCCATATTTATCAAGTATGGGGAGGTGAGCATAGGATATGAAAACAAGGATGAAAATGGGGATATTGAAACCCATGCCTATCTTGTTACCATGCTTAGTTGACACTTTAATAAGTGGCAATGACTTGTGTCTTTTAATTAAGTTGTCCATGATTTAAGTTTTGACATTGAGAATGAAATAGATTATGTCAAGGATATAATACTCAACCTGTGTGCCTTTGTTAATGAATATTAGTCACTACTCTTGATGGTGAAAACTTTATACCAATATTATAATTAAAAGATTATTATTATTAGTGAAATCGAGACACTTTGTATCTTTATATTTTATTTAATAGAAGTATTTAAAAATTATTAATGTTTGTTAGATTAACTAGTATTGTGTTTAATACTCAAATTATGAGGTTTTGTGTCTATAAGAGTAATTAATTTTTTATATTACTTTTTATTATTTAAAATTTTAAGGGTAAAATCATATAAAAAATGTGTACAGCAAATCATACTATTGCTTTTATATATATCGGGACTAGTGAGGTAAGGACACTTGTGCCCTTATATTTCATTAAATAAAAATATTTATAATTTATCAACACTTATTAGATTAACTGGTGTTACATTTAGTTTTCAAATTTTAAAATTAAGTTTAGAGTATTGTGTTTATAAAGATAATTATTTTATATATTAATTTTATTATTTAATTTTTAAGACAAAATTATCTAAAAATACGTAGAATAAACCACACTATTACTATTACTTTTATATATGTTTATTTATTTATATATTATATTTATACCTATTATAAAGGGGATACCGGAGGTATTTAATTGTTTTTGATTCACTTTTTCGAGAATCCCCTTAAATGTAAAAAAAAAAAACCTATATCCTCCCTAAATAACTAAACACAACTCTCTAATATTTTATCTGTCTATAATTATTAAAGGTTATCGATTCATCTAGTAAGTATGCAATAAAAATTATATAATAAATTATCATTAATTATTATTTTTATATATATTAAAAGGATCGAGACATTTTGTATCTGTATATTTTATTTTAAAAAAATATTTATAGATTATCAATGTTTATTCAATCAATTGGTGTTACGCTTAATTATCAAATTTTAAAATCTCAATTTCAGAGTTTTATATTTATAAAGATAATTATTTATAATATTAATTTTATTATTTAAAAATAAAAAATAAAGTAATCTAAAAGTATGTATATATGTTATTTATTTACATATTACATATTACATATTACATATTATATTATAGAGGTTATATAATAGATTATGATTGAGTAGTACTATTAGCACATTTGTGCAAATATATTGGTTTGTCCGTAACGAATTGAGTTTTTTAATTTACCAAAATAAATAAGAAAGTTCCAAATGGAATAGGCAATTTGCATGGACACAGGGAAGTTCTCGTGAGTGGTTGCTATTGTTGGGCCTGCTTTGATCTAGCGTGGGACACCTTGAGAACCCTGTTGTAACCGCCAGCTATATCCGTTCTGACCACCACCCCCACTCACCCACACCGCACCCTTATCCGCATGCCGCGTGTACCTCCTCCTCACAACAATGCGCCACGTGTCCCTCTCACTTGTCCCTTCCAATCACGCATCGCGGTAGTTCACTCACATTACCAAAGTCATTTCCTATGTGACCACTCACGCCCCGAACCACGCAAATCCCCAAAACACCCTCCCTCACCCGCCAACACAACTAAACCCAACCAGGACAAACTCGTCATTTCAACTCCAAAGGCTAACTAACTGGAAGGTAGGTGAGAATTATCGTGTACAAGTCGGCAGTTGAACAGAACAAGTACACATGCCCCTCAAGGTTTTTATTCTATACACTTCAGGTACTTTGGACGGTTACCAGTAAACGACCAAGAAAATCAACGGTTCGATGTCAAACTAGTGTACATAATTGACTCCAGTCTTATCGCACGTGATCATTCCTCCTTCTTGCCTCTTTCTTTAGCTCTGACTGCTGCAGGAGCCGGTCTGCATCGGTAACACCGTCAACTTAATTTACCAAATTACCCTCACCTGCTCTTCAATACCTTACCCGCCAATAAATAAATCCTACTTAACAGTAACGGTGATTCCGTCAATACACGGAACGGAGAAACTTTCAATCGCGTTTACACAGAAACGCGTTTTGGAATTTGGACGGCACGTTTGTTTTCGTTGAACCACCTAATAACAACCACCACCACTTCTTAAAGTTTCTTTAATTTATTTATTTGTAATCAAAATGAATAATTAAAGTATTTTTTTTTTATTCGGGTTTTCGGAACTAATAAAGTTATAATTATTTTAGAGTATAAAACTATAAATTATCCCTTCCTTACCCTTTTTCGGTTTTCTAAGCATTCGCTTCCTCTCTTTCCTCATCCACTATTTCTCTCCGTTTTCTGGCCCCTGCCGGAAAACCCCTTCCGTCCGCCGGAAAACCGCTTTCGTTTCGGCGACTTTTTTCCGCGTCTCCAGAGGAAGCTTATATCGGTCTTCTTATTGGTACGTTTGCATTCTCTCGCAAATTGCTGTTGCAGATTCTACGAGGCCTTGGATCTCTCCGAGACGCGGTTTCTGCGTTGTATTCGGCGTTCTTCGAGAATGTGGCGAGCCTGGTTGTCCTCTGAGGCTCTCTCTTAATCCGCAGCCTTCGGGATCGTGTTTTAGGGTTTGGATTTGGATTCTGTGTTTGGTAATTGTTTTCTGGCGATTCCTTGTTCTAGTTAACGAAGACGGAGGCCTACAGGGAGCGACTTCGTAATGAAATGGTAGGTCAATCGTGTTTTGTTCAGAGAATTTATTTTTTTTAGGCTTTTGTTTGGTTTTTGATGCGTTAATGATTGAAAATCTCTCGAAAATGTATATTCGTCTGTTAATCCTTCAGATCTCGGACATTGTTATAATTTTCAACGATTTTGATTCGATTTCTCTCGTTTTGTTTGCCTGAATGATGTTTTTTTTAAATCACGCCTCGTAATATGGTTTTTTGACTTTTTTCTCTCCTATTTGCCATTTCGTGTTTAGGCTTCAGAGAGTGGTATGCAATTGATGCTCTTAAGGGATGCGTAAAGGTGCATTTTGTGAGAGAGGCTGTTTTTTTTTTTTTTTTTTT